AAGGACCCACTTCCATTGCTCACCGTGGATCCCAACGGGAATTCCCGAGCTCCCGGAGCACCGGGGGGATGAGCTGGCGGTGGAGCCTGCAGGGAGGGGGAATTGCTTCCTCCTGGATCACAGGGATGGCTCTGGAATGGGATCCTGACGGGGTGGGATCTCCTGGATCTGTGCCTCGGGATGGCGGAGCCGCCGTCGGAATTCCCGTTTTCCTGCGGGAAGGGAAACGCAGCGCCTGATGTGCGGACAGGGAATGGTTTATCAGCAACAGAAAGGAGAACTGGATGGGGTGGGAGGAAAAAATTCCTTACCCAGGGAATGGGGGGAGCCTGGGAAAGGTTTCCTGGAGGAATTGTGGATTCCCCATCCCTGGAAGTGCCCAGGGTGAGGCTGGATGGGGCTTGGGAGAACCTGGGATGCTGGAAGGTTTCCCTGCCCATGGAACTGGGCGGGCTTTAGGATCTATCCCAACCCCATTCCATGAATTTTTAATTACAAAATAACAATATTAACACCAATAAACCAAAATTGCCTTTCCCAACCTTAAGAATTCCATGGTTCCGTTTTCAAGTTTATGGCCAGGCCACGAATCCGCGGCCGTTTCAAAGCAATAAAACCCAAAATATTCCAAAATTGGGCTAAAAATCCCTCCCTGCTCCAGCCATTCCCAGGCAACTCCGTGTTTGTTGCATCCAATTGGAAAAACCATCAATTAATGCCAATTAAGGGCCATATGTTAATCAGCCCCCCGGTGATAATTGGGAATACTTAAGGCACACAAGGTAAAGCAAATAATTCCTGACCTGGCTCCTAAATTGTTCCTGCTTTTCCCTAGCAAATGTAGGAAATGATCCATTGGAAAAATGAGAATATTCCTGTCAAGAATATTCCCAGCAATTATTTCCTGAGGCAAATATTTGGGGAATATTTGGATCTGAAAGAAGAAATTTGAATTTATTGGCCATAAATGTCCTGAGAGCTTTCAGGAGCATAAGAAGGAGAAGGAAAAATCAGGATGTGGTGCAGTTATTTAGGGATATTCCCTTTAAAAAAAAA